ATCACGAAACGAATCTGCGCAGTACCGTCTTGACACCTTTTTGAGAGTATAATCGTTTATTGGATCTTTTTTTGTTTATACACGCAGTTCATTCATCTATTAACAGGATAATGGACGATCGTTTATACATATCATACAGTGCGTTTTGTGTTCCTGTCATTGTAGTCGTGAGCCTTTTCTCTCCTATATTTTAGGGGAGAACTGTTATTGTAGATCGGGAAGGAAAAGCTAAGGGAATGGTAATAATAGTAATAAAACTAGCTGAAAAGACAGCTGCTCCGTTAAGGGCTGCTTCGCCTAGGAACGCGTCTATCGGGAAACGGCACGAACCGCTTGTCCCCAGCGGTGTATATCCCAACCTTCAACTTTTTCACAAGAACGGAATTGTATCGCCTGCTTTGCGTCTATTCATAAAATAATTGAAATTAATCCTTTATTGAAAAGAGTGTTTAACGACAACGCCTATGACTCTGGTGAGAACACACACATACTGGGCGGAAAATACCAGGTTTGCTCCTAATGTACAGGAAACCAACACGAGTCAAAACATTCCAGCCAGGTTATATGACAATAAGTCAAATGCTTACTACTACAATGTAATTATATCATTTGGCATTCGCCATTGGCTATTTACAGTCAAGATGGTGGTGCCAAAGACTCAAAACTATAATTCCCGTTCCTTCGCCTCAGAGCATTCACTTGTGGGAAATTGTATCCGTTTGTGTTCTGATGTCTAGGTGTTGAAAAGCTTAAGAAATTACAGTTCAGACTGGTGACAGTGGAGATAGATGGTGCCAGCCCCCCAAAAGCCTGAATTTCGACTTTCAAGTCCAATACAATCCATTTTTGTCAAACCAACCGAAGTTATCTCATTCGCGTGTTACGAGTAGAAAACATTTTCTCACTTAGTACTAATTGCGTGAATTCAGATGACTAGGTTCTGAAAGGGAAGTGTAAAAATGATAATTTCTCGAATAAAGCAAGACTGTAACGAAATTACCTACCTGGTTATCTGACTTGAAACGTCGTTGCAGCGTGCTACTGAACTACAGAAGTAATTGCTATTAATTAGTTTAAAAGTTAGTCACCAATACCGAATTTCACATTTTCTTGGCCACTGCTAATATTGCTAAGAAACCAAGTGCTGCGGGTGCTTCTTAATTTGAAAATACAATTATCTAACCTCGGACCTAGAAGTTAATTAAAATATTACAATCTTTCAGTTTAGACACGAAGACATAACTCGAGGGAAATATTTGTGGTAACCCTCAGAGCCGCAGTACTCACACGCTGTGTTATTGCGTAAAACGTTGGTGAATATAGAGGGAAATTGGCTTGGACATGTAATAGCCTTGTAGTAAAATCATTAACTGGTTCATCCGCCACTTACTCGGAAGTGTTTCGCTCACAACTTGTCCAGAAGATTTAACTTTCACTTGAAATTAAAAGCGCGCAAAACAGCAGATTACGCACCACTTTAAAATACTAACAGTGTACACGGTTATCATTCGTCACCGAAATCCCTGCCCCTTACAACAGTACACAAACCTTCAAGGCTCTTTTTCAATTCGGGGTTATTGTTATAATACGTCTGATAGTTGCTGTCGAAATGGAAATTAAACCCTTGTGCAATGTCTGGAGGATGAGCGTAAAGGGACGCTGATCTTTTCCACGCTTTCAACCTTAAGAGTCCACTTAAAAGTGCCATTGAGAAAGCTCTGAATATACTACGTAATTAGCTTTCAATAATAAGCACCTACAGATCCCCGATCCCCCCCCTGCACACACTAAAAACAAAACCTCTATATAATGTGTAAATGTGTCTGTATCCCATTTAAGAACAGAAGTAAAAGATTGAAGAACCCTCCAGTTACACAGACCGCTGGGACTCAAAGCATGTACAACACTCTCCCTGAAGTCCCTAACACGCTTTTTAAAATGTATCTCGTATTTCAGTCACGACCCTGCTCATTGTTGGGATATATTCCACATAATTATACAGCGTATTGAGAAGTGCTGTTGAAAATATCACGGTATATATTTGTAGAAATGTCGGCACCAAGAAATCCGGGTGTTGAAACTTGTGCTGTGGTCTGAATAGAGGGATGATGAGCTGAGCCCGAGCTGACAAAGTTAAACCGCTTATTATTCTTTCTCCTCGCCCTTTGATTTGAAGAAGTATTGCGATCCGCCGCACCTACTCTTAACCCAAATTCTAAGCGCACATTTAAAATCAAGGCTTCTGGGTTGAAAAACTTCAGTACAGATCGACCTGCGCGTATTGGCTACGCTTGGAATGATACTGTACCTTCCACTACCAAGTAAAGGTAATTCTAGTGTCCAATGCCGCGTCTTTTTAGGATGTTTAATCGGCAATTATTTGATTAATATTATATGGGGGAAAAAATGATTATTTTTGTCATCAACCAATCCATGTCATTATTTTATCTGGTTGAAGTTTATTATAACAAAATTGTGTTACGAAAGTGACAAAAAAAAGTTTAACATCCTAGATCTCCGAGCAATATTTTCACCTGGTTTGCATTTTTAATTCGCGCCTTAATCCTGTGATATCGTGTGTCCTATATGACCAGAGAGTGTTGTTCTGTAAAATACATAAACGATTGCATATTAAAAAAAAACACGGTACAACCTTAACACTCGAAATGTTATAGGTGGGAAATTAGCAAGAAATGAAGACCAGCAAATAAATAATCTAATCTTACACATGATTTTTTTAATTAAACGGTATTTGTTTTTACCAGTTTGTACGCAAGACTGGCAGTTTGTGAAAACCCACAAGTAGAAGTGTTTAGAAATGTACTATTGTCCCTGATAAACGCAACATTGTAATATTTTAAGTGTCTCTTAGAAAAAAATTAAAATCCAAACAAACACTCGCATTCGTTTACATTTCTATTTTGCGCTAAATTGTTATAATTTATAACCAAAACAAAAGGCGTTGAATAGGATCAGGGCTTCGGACAATTAAAAGACGTTTTGTTAACACAAAGCTCCGCTTCAACAAGAACAAATGACTTGGTTTGACCGCATAGTAGGATATCCCTGGTTGACTGTCAAATTTTCTTATCAGGCGTTTTCTAACAGTGCTTCTAAAAATATTTAGGAACTATACGATAACTTCCACGTGGTTTATATGTTACTAATGGGATTCAGACTACATCTGGTATTTGAATGCAACAATACACATCGATTTCATGAAGAAATATAAAATTATAATATAACCTCTGTTAATTTTCAAAAGGGTATCCACTTTAGATGTTGTTAACCAAGAACCGTTGAAAACACTGGGTTACAATAAGAACTTTAAAAAAATAATTAAAAAAAACAAATTCTCCTCTCAACGCTTGTGCGTTGAACAGGCCCGCGTTTAATATTTTCAGATCGCTTTTCTATTTGAAAGTCCTCTCCTGTAGGTCCTAAATATATTTTAGAAACCCGGGTCGTTATGTTTGTGTCTTGCAAACTACAGTAAATTACAGTATTGTAAACTGGAAACTACAATCTATGTTATGCCCTTGCAAAAATCCGTAGGGTTTGCATACATTTCTGTATTTAGCACCGACTATAAAACCGAGCCCGAAAGCCAGTGTAAATCAACATTCCCCAAATGAGAACGGACACATTTGAACAAAAGACTGCTCGTTTTATTTTTAAAATATTTGTGTGTTTGTGGACTATCATTTTCACAACCGACTGGCTTTTGTTAACGCTGCTAGTTAACACAAATTCCGCTTACTGTATAATAGGCCCGTTGGCCATTGCGTAGCCGAACTAAGCAGAGCTGGAAAAAAAAAACACAACTTGTTAGCCAAAACCTCGCAACGTAAATTGAATGTTTAGCCATTCAGATTTCCTTAATTTTGTGGAGACAGGGAGATTCGTTTGACGAAAATCCAGGCGATAAATTGCCAGTTTAAATGAATAAATCGCACGGGTTGGATTCAATTGTTCTGGGATGGTGATGTCGCTCAAGGACCAGTCCACAGAGTTGGTATTTTAGATATTTAACAACATAAAGACAACTAAGGCAGGAATTTCGATTGATTCTCTCCAACTAAAAAAAAACAAAACAGGATTTTATTCAAACTGCGACAACCAAATATACTGTTTCACTAATTACTGGAAAACATTGAGTATTTTGTTAGAAAACGCTGCACCGAATAAAAGTAAAACTGGTGTCCCTGTCAGAACAATAAGCAGACAGCACTGAACATGCCTTTTTGACACTTTTTAAAAAGGAGTTCTTCATCTAGACACTGGTACAATGAAGTACAGCACATGATGACATCCTTCCTTGATTGCTAAGTAATTAGATTTTTTTTTTAAATTATAGTAATTAAAATAATGAGTTGACTTCTTTTACGGCAAATTGTGCGGTTAGGAAACTGATTTCGCCTATTTACGGGTGGGTTTACCGATGATAGATGCGCGTCAGAGTCTGTTCTAATTTTCTGAAAACTGCTCGGGTCGCTACAGTCCGGTTCAACACTTGCAGAATAATAATTTACCCCCCTCCCTCCCTATATTATTATTATTATTATTATTATTATTATTATTATTATTATTGTTATTATTATTATTACCATGATACAAGTACGAACAAAACGTATTAACCAAAACAGAGCATCAGAACAGTCTGTCCTGTCACCCGATTAATTACAGCTGCGACTCGGTCTTCAAATTAATGGTCATTATTGCGGATCTGCGGAGTTCTCGGAGGTGTTTTTTCCCCCTGTTTTGTTAAAAAAAAAACGAGCTAGCAAAAGCCCACACAGCCCACGATCGAAAAAGAAAATACAATTCTGCAATCTTATTTCATTTTCCCGATAAGAGCGTCTGTCGCGTCAGCATTCCCGATTTCTGGTGTTTCTTTACGTCCTCGTCAATACCGTCCTCACACATGAAGCTGACTTTGAAATTCTAACAGAACTATACAGCCGAGAGACATCAAAGATGGAGAAGTACAGCCTGCTCACCTTGGAACCTGTGACCTAAGTATCTGTTCCTCAGAACCCAGGGGTAAAAGTTCAGCGTCTCTCTCTGATGCGGGCCGAAGAAAGGCTGAGCCGGCAGCTGTAGAGGGTGAAGCGAGAGAGCGGAGCTGGCGGCGTGAGTGCCCGGCTCCGAGAACATCAGATCCGGGGTGCTGTACAAGGTCCGGCCGGTGTTCTGGAAGCAGCTCCCGAAGGGCGTAGGGTGGACCGATTCGGTGAACCGCAGAGCCGTCGGCCGAACCGGTTCGTCTCCGGCCGAAGAATTCGCGTCCTTGCCCACCAGAGACTCGATGGTGAAACATTTCTTGCTAGGCTGGTACATCGTCCCAACACCGAGAATCGACACTCTCCGCGCGAATGTCCAAAAGAAGAAGAATAATAGTAATTATTATTATTATCTCGAAACAGCCAGGGGATTGCTTCAGGGAAAGTCGCTCGATTTAGGAAGAAAAACAAAACAAACAGAACAGTCCTCAAAATCCACGCGGATTCTTAATCCACCGAGAACTCCATTTCTTAAAACCCTTCCCTTTAATGTAGGAGGTAAATATTAAAAAAAAAAACTTCCCGAAATGTTAGAGAAGACCCGGGCAAGGTGTTTGACAGCGTCCGGGCACGTCTTGTGGTCTGTTTTAATACCACACAAACAGTTAAGATCGCCGGAAAAAGCTATCGATTTCGGGTTGCGATGATTGTATTCGACGAAAAGTAATTCATTACTGAGTGTCGGAGCTCGGTGCAAAGGAATTCCGGCTTTAGCCTATGACAGGGCAGATGTAACCTCGCATCTCCCGAGGAGCTCAGAAGCAGACAGAAATTCAGCATGCCTTTCACAAGAAAGACCTGTCACTCACTGCGCCCAATACCTGCCCTCGGGTTCCTCGCTCGCAGAGGTGTGGTGAGCATGCGCACGTCAAGCCATGCAGGAGAAAAGATCAACACGACGAAACGCAACGCGATAAAATACCACAGCCAGCCTTCGCTGACAGGGACAAGTGCTCAGGCGTCGTGCGAAGTCGTTTTGAATGACTTGTAGGGCCTATATCGGCGCTTTGGAGGGGGGTGTCTGCACAACCGCAAAGCCAGCGCAGCAAATTTGTTGTCGTTTTTTAAAAATGATGCGATAACGAGAAAAGAGGGTTGAACAGCTAATAGCGTATCTCCTAGGATGTAGTTTAGCTGTAGACAAAAGGTGAGATCACATTTTCCCTTAAAAGACAAAAAATAGCAATGCGAACCTTAATGATGAGATACGCTATTTCTCTCACTAAGTTATTATTAGTGTGCAATGCGCGGATCTTTGATTTGATCACGCTTCTCCGTGTTATGTTGTCTGTTGGATTTTATTATTAGTAAAAAAAAACACACCTCCTAGTGAGGATCTTATTGTAAACTTACTCTTCTCCGAATCTGCACAGTAGGTCTCTATGGGTCACCTCCTCCCAATCGGTCATTTTTAGACACGTGGAACAACTGAGTTTTGACCACTGATGAAGGTCACTTGATCAATTAAACTAGATATCGTTTAGGAACGAATATCTCAGCACCGTCAAGCTATTGAAAGACCACAGTAGGACGTTTCTTAGGGAGTCTAATCGTGTCTCCTTCAACGAATCGAAACCCTACGCTTGTTCCCGGTCGTTCCAGATCAGTGATTCACAGGTGACCTATAAAGACTTCTTGGACTGTAGATCACCAAGATACACTTGACAGACAACACAACGCGTGGGAAACAAGAGCCTTTTCTCTACATCTCCTGCCACAAAACAAAGTGTAGCTTCTGGGGAGCAAGGCTCTGAACATGGACTCGATGGGTCTGAGGTGCGACCCACGGCGCACACTGCTGAATTACTGATACACCGGCGTAACACATCTAATATGGAGACAACACAACACAGAATGTCAAAAGGCCGAACAAAAACCAAGACAAAAATACGTGACTTATTGCCTATATTATTAAATAACCTAGCTTACAGCGCCCCCTGCAAGACTTTCCTTGCACTATATGTGCCTGGGGAAAGTAATTACGTAATAGGACGCTATTGCACACGCGGACTTCAGAAACACAGCGCCAGGTTTAATTCAAGCTTTCACAGTAGCGTACAGGACGCACAAAGCATACGGAAAAAACTAACATCTATTATAAGAACATTCGTGTCTTAAAAGATTTCTGTGAGTTTTGTCCTTGGGTGTGATTACCCTTTACAACAGGCCATTACATCACATCCACTAAGGCAGTGCATTTCAAAATAGAGGCAAATCCTACAGGCCTGTATACTGCGAGTTTCATATTACGTAAGCCCAACGCTTTTGTGAGGTTTGCGTGTAACCTAATTAAACTCATCAATACGAATACGAGATAAAACATATCAGGGACAAAACGGTGAATATGTCAGTAACACAAAACAACTCAATAAAATTGAAAAATAACCACACACGCTCTCGCCAACCAATTTGGGCTTTTTCTTACTGGTTAGATGCCGTTTCATTACAGTATTATTAGCACAGGCTTGATTAACTCAAATGATACAATTCGGTGCTTGAGTTCATTCACGAGAACGGAGCTTTCCCATTTTTCATTGGTTGCAAACGATCACAAAATAATAAAAAAAAAACATAGTAAATAATAGAATCGAAGTATGCTCATTTAAGGATTTTTTCCCCATATGATTGATCTTTTTATGATCTACCCCATCGATAGGCTACACCTGAAGAAAGTTTCTTCATGTAGTATAACGCACTCCGAGAGTGGATCTCCGTTTATAGTCCTGCTTCTCTCAAAGATACTCCGACACTCGTCTGCACTCTCTAAATCAATCAACTGGGATTTGAACTTAAAGTAACACAACGCTCAATAAAGAAATTCTAGAATTTTCCAAGTGTGGAAAACTCGGAAACGAGCTTTGACTTGCAAATAACAGAAAAACTAAAAATTTTAAAACTATGTACTGTTTCACAATACTCTTTTTTTCAATCCATTGAAAACATCCCACAAAGTAAGTATATATTTTTTTAGTATATGCAATTTGGTTTGGAAATGTTAGATTAATCGAAATTAAGAGGGCTTTGGATCCCGAAAAGGATTTTTAATTCACATTAAAAAAAAAAAACGTTTTAGGGATGAGGGATTTTCTTAAAACACAGTCAAACCGCGCTTTTCGTCATAAAGAAAACGGCGCAGTTCTTACTCGCAGAGTGCGCTCAAAATATTGGAAAATCATTCCTGATGGGAGTTCAGTTCTCCTGATTACACGGAGAAATTGTGCGCCCTGTGCAGCTGGAACAGGCTGCGAGTAACCGGAATAAGCATCAGGAATAAGCGTTTCTGATAATGGATGGAGGCTGAGGATCAGAATTTGGAAATGTTGGTGACCCCAAAGGCAAAACGTCTGACACTATTAGCCTGCATTAGAACATTGTAAGGTGAGATGCTTTTATCAATTACATTAAATTGCTAACACGAAAATTGGATGTAGAAACGGTCATATTTGAGTAAGACATTTTTTAAAAATACTGAAAATGTATTCCAGTGTTTCTAATGCGTTGAAATGCCATGTATTTCATTAACATTTTGTTGTTGTTGTTGTTGTTGTTGTTGTTTTAAAAAACAACTAACTAGCTGTGCTTTGTCATAAGCAGTGTACGGTACGTACGGATCATTTTGTGACCGTCAAATTGTCTCGGACAACTTCAGCTCAGTTATTACTTCACAGAGCAATTTATAAGTAGTATGATGCAATGAAAACAAATGCGAAAACAAGTAAAAACATGCGCAGAGAGTTTCTTTCTTTCAAAGAGGCTTCAGGAACTGCTGACGTGACCAAAAGTGTATTAAAGTGGAAGCGATCGTGTCACTTGAAGACCTCTGAGCATCAACCGCTTTTGTGAAGGTGTATCTCACCACATTGATTCATCTTTGAACTTGTAAAATAGTTTAGATGCAATAAATAAGAAAAATAAGTAACTCATCATGACACAACATTTTGCGATTATCAGATCGTTTAGGAATCAATTTACAACGTAAAGAAATAATTCGTAAAGACGTTAAGAATACCGGATTTGTATTTTATTTTTATTCTGTCCTTCAGTATTTTCGGTCTGGGTGCGGCGCCAGTGCGCAAGTAATTTTTCGGTTACAAACACTGCTTAACTGGCCCACGTTACACACACACAGAACACCACAGCCAGAACTTCATCCTGGAGTTAACAATCTCGCCAGCTCTGTTTGCCTGTCAAGCTGTCCACACCTGGAAGAACCCCATCTGAGACGCCAGCTGCCGTGGTCGACCACTTAATAAACACCTTGCACTAAAGGTGTATGAACACATGGATCAGCTATTTTAAATTGAACAGCCCCCCCGATAAACAGTGGAAATTCCGCAGAAACATCGCCTCCGCGATACCTATGGACAACCTGAGAAACAAGTTTGTGTCGATTTGCTTTTCTGCTTGGTGTTTTGTGTTTTGCTACCACGGCGCTTTCTCGTAGCAGAACCATATGGACTAATAGCGTTAACTTTGCTTTTTGAACGAGTGACCCCGATTGCTCAGAACACAGCAGGAAAGGACAAATTCAGTGCGTTTGACACAGACGGAATCCTGTTATTGCATTCCTCGCTCACTTACTGACCTTCCCGCTCTTTCAGATTATACAGCTGCTATCGACAGGCCCAAGAGCACCTAATAAGTACTCAATAATTAAGTCGGGAATAAATCTGCCTTTTTTCGCACCGTCCTGGGAACATAGACGCATTGCAAGGCGGTTGAATCGCCAAGGAGAATAAAACAGCTTTTTTGTTGTTGTTGTTGTTGTTTATCAGTTTGTTGTTGTTTATCAGGCGGAAGATCCGTTCTCAGACGAATCAACCCGACCGGAGAGCAGCACGTACATAAGCCGACCGCGCCGCGACGGTTTTTACCTCCTTTGTCAGTTAACACATCTCAGATCACAGAAAGAGGGAAACAGATCAGAGTCCCCAAACCCCAGGACAGATGTCACCCCTTTCATGTTTGACAATTGTGGCTCAGTGCAGGGGATAAAGGCCCCCCCACTGACGCTATTCATGGCCGGCTCAGAGGAAACCCATGTGAACCACGCAGAGGAAGGGCTCTCCGGGTTCCGATAACAGCCCCGTCTCCTCCCTGCTTGGCCCGGCCTGCCTAATTCCTCGCCATAATTAATAGCTTTCAGTTGCAGCTTTTGGCCCTACTGCCTTTGATTCCAACGGCCATTAACATCTATTAAATTCGCCTCTGGCAATTAATTATATATTGCGGGCTTCCCTGAAAAGAAGCATTAACCGGCTGGAGGTTTTGTGGGCACTGAAAGTGTGAAAGCTGAGTTAAAAAGTGACTATTGTCCCCCTCCCTGGAACACGCTAACTGATGTTAAGCCCTAACACAAAGAGGGCACCTTACTAAACCGGCGTTAGCTATTTTACTGGTCATAAAAAAAAAAACAGAACAGGGGATTAGGAAAGCTTACGGCCATAGTCTTTCTTTAAAGAGTCCTGGAAATGTGCCGCTCGAAACCTCGCAGAATGTGGAGCACCAGCGTGGAGATTCCTTCTTACAATTATATATGGATAGTTTCTTTGGGAGGGGGGGTTCGAGTTGTAAAAAGGAATCGAGCGGGCAAAATGAGCAAAATTGTATTTTAATCGAATGGCACGCACAAAAAGAATTAGGAGTCTCGCGAAGTGCGAGGCTGCACAAAGGCTGTTAACGTTTTAAAAAAAAAGCCAAATTAGCGCGGCTGAGGTAGAGGATCACTATGATTCTTAGCCTGAATAGCAACTGATTTTGAATGTTATGAGGTATTCACTGAGCTGTGCGTACAAAAAAAAAGGGGGCTTTTACAATTCAATTTTTTTGTACGATTATACACAGTCATTACCTGCCCATTCAGGTTTTATTCGAGGTCGTGTCGTACTTTTTGTTTTTAGTGTTATTTTTCTTTAAGTGGCCGCGGCTTCGTGGGGTACACCAAACCGCGCGGGTGTCCAGGAGCCGGGATGACGTCACAGCGCCGTGGACGCCACGAGGTGTTCAAGCCTTAGGAGTCAGGATACTTCCGGGCTAGCTTGGAGTAAGCACATCATCATCAAATTAATGATAATAATAATAATAATC